TCGTATACAATCGAAATTAGACGCGGCTCACTCACTCTCGTATCAATTCAAGTGACATTCGAGTATCTGCATACGACTACAATCCGTAGTAAACGTAAATATGAATATTTCTTTTTACGAATACTTATGCTAATCTTATTGTTGCATAAATTTTCGCAGCACTCTACTCTGAATACATACACTTTCACACATCGAAATAAACACACACGTATACACATGAACACATACACAAGCGCAAACATATAATCTATTTTCACTTGACTGGTATTGATTTTTGTGCATACTTCTCTCGATTAAGAATGCTTTCAGCTTCTTATTGATGTGGCAAACAGTCCCAAGAGATCTAACATATATATGTGATAAATACATGTATATATACGCATATAGTTATACACTCACAGACGTCTCTTTTAATATACGTACATTTTTAAGATCTTTTCTGATGCGCACTCGATCATGCCATGCAGACGAAAGCTACAATACTGACTAGGCCAACGAAAAGTTGATGGCCCAAACTCGAATCACAAAGTCGAGTCCCGAGCTCGAAACCGAAACTTCGTGAAGACGTTTGTTGCGTCCATGTTTTGCTGCATTTGTCGTAGTGCGCATGCGCAAAAGCTGTTTGGCTGGTTCAGGTGGCCCCAAAAACGAGATATTGAGATACAAAAGCTCGTTTGACAGCGTTTTTTGTTGTCTATATCGCAGTTGTCTTTGTGAGAGAGTGAAAAAGATACGTGAATATACAAAGCAGATCTGCAAATGCCAGCAGCAAACCTTAAGCTTGCCTTATACCTCTAAGGTAAGTTAAACTTATTTAAAAATAGTTATCGATTCCTTTGAAACAAACTCGATCTTTGCGTGCATTCAGTTACAGTTAGGTAAACGTTCATACGATACGTCTTTATTTTTCTATGCTTCACATACTTGAACTATTATGCATTGCAATTTCATTTTTGCAATTTTCGCGTGAGTAATTGATCAATATGGGTCGAGGCAAGCGATCCCCTTCTGGTGTGCAAACCATAATATTTTCCTACGGAAAACGGCAACATTTGAAGTTCAGCCAAGATTAGGCCGTCCTCAAAAACTGTGTGTCAGAGATAAACGCGAAATTCTGGCCACAAAAAACACGGACCCAACAAAATCCGCGCCAATAATTTGCAGAGAAATCCCTGAAAAACTGATATTAATTTTGGAATGCAGTAATTTGGAGTGACGAATCCAAATTTATAATTTTTTGATCAGATGGACTCAAAAAATATGGGGGAAAAATTAATTCTGCTCTTCAGCTAAAAAATTTAGCTTCAACCGCATGGAGGCGGATACGAGATGGTCTGAAGGTGTATGGCCATATCTGGAGTTGGGAAACTGGTATTTATAGATACCAAAATGGACAAGTATTACTACTTAAGAATATTGTAAGATAATCTCAAGGAGAGCGCAACTCAGCTCCAGTTAGATTAGGTTATTACTTTCAACAAGATAATGACATGAAACATACTTATTTTGGATAACACAAAGCAATTATATACTCCGCCACAATCTTCGCAATCTAATTGATTACATTTGGAATTTACTTTATACAAGGATACTGTATGTTATATCGCATAAGATTCCCTAATGTCGGCTTTGAGCTCCGAGTGGGTTAAGATCCCCGAAAACCAAACCAAAGCATTAATAGGGAGTATGCGTCGACTGCTTGCAGTAATGGCTGCAAACGGCGGTCCTATTATTTAGTCGAATTCATCTGTTTATACCCTGGACCCAATGAAAATGGTAAATCAGGGTATTGTTTGTTTTGTTAAAATGTATGTCACATGTATATAGGACTTTAAATTTTATTTAAAATGTTCATATATATAGCCCGCATATCACTATCACTAAAAATCGATAGCTCATTCCGTTATTTTGTTATCAATAAAAAACCTTATCGAAAGTCAGTTATAATATTATATCTCCCTCATCTTTAAAGGTAGTCTTCAAATTTATAATGTATATTAAGATGGATTTTATACAATTTCGATTTTTGTTAAAATTTACCCTCCACCTCAAAGTCCGCCCCCCTGACCTTCATATTTGTAAAAGGCGTATTTCAAATACTAGAGACTTGTGCTTCGGTATATACATATATATAAACATTATGATTACAATCTTAAGATTGTACGTCTAGAAATTACATTATTCAACAACTAAAATTTTCATAATATTGTCAACACTGCAGCGCAGCCCAAGCGCAAGTGTATGTGAGTGCGTGTGTTTGTGCGAATTATTATTGAAATATCATTTGCTCGAAGGGTTTAGGGGATCTCCTAGTGGAGCAGTCTCGACTAGAGCTTTCTTACTTGTTAATATATATTCAAATGATTTATATTTTTTCGGTTTTTTTTTATTATTTGGATACCGAATTCAGCAAACTCCCCAGTGCAGGCCAGATGCCAGTATAGCTAATTGTGAATGATTTGGCATATTTTTATATCCTGAACCAATTGAATGGGAAATTAGGGTATAATGGATTGTATGTAACATGTATAATGAAATGTATGTAACATGCAGAAGGAGGCGTGGCAGACCCCACAAAGTATATATATATTCTTGATCAGGGAGACGAACTGAGTCGATTTAGCCCTGTCTGTCCGTCCGTCTGTCCATATATTTGAACGCGTCGATTTCAAATGATATAAGAGCTACAGACTTCAAATTCTTTTTTAAATGTCCGTATATAAAGCGCGCATATCGAGTTTATCACTAAAAATCGATAACTGGTCCCGTTATTTTGTTATCGGAAAAACTCCTTTCGAAAATCAATTATAAAATTATATCTTCTACATCATTAAAGATAGTCTCAAATTTTAAAATATATATTAAGATACATTTTATACAATTTAGATTTTTCTTAAAATTTACCCCCACCCCTTCACCCTTACATTTGTAAAAGGCGTAGTTCAACTACTAGAGACATAAGATTGTACGTCTAAAAATTAATTTATTCAACAAATAAATTCTCATAACATTGCCAGCACTGCAGCGCAGCCTAAGCGCAGTCGCCTGTGTATGTGAGTGTGTGCGAATTATTTTCAATACATCGGTTGCTTGAAGTGACTAGAGCTTTCTTACTTGTATTTATTTAAATAAGTTTAAAAAGACTTTTATTTGCCAAATATATAATTCAAAAGATCTCATTTAACCACTTTTCAATAGAGTTATGTTGGAAAATCGTGTACCTTAATTTTTTTTGCAGACTGTATATGGCGTCTTACATTCATCAATCTTCTATGTAGCAACATATATACATGAACCAGTATTTCAGAATTTACAAAAAATCTTTATTGAATACATATTTCATAGTTACCTATACTATATAGATACACTACATACTTATAATTATTTTTAAGCTACCTACAACTTATAAGCAAACATTACTTTATATATGTATATGTAGAGGATAAAAACCTCGCTATATGTATTCTCATTAATACATGCACTACTCAAACTTCACTTAATCACAAGACAAATTTTACAGCATTTTCTTTATAACTATACAAACTGCAATAAATTTTATAAACAATTCCATTCTATTCTTAATGGTCGGCGGTATAAATTACAAAATATATATATTAATTGGTTTAATCTGATAAGTACTCAATATCTTAGATGCAATCAACAGTTAGCAAATTGTAACAATATTTATATATATATTATTAATCCTAGATCAAATATTTATGCACATTCATATGATTTGATACACAAAATTAAGCAAGTTTATCAATAATTTTTATTGAGTTGTATCTATGATTATATCGTTTTTAATATTATTCTTTTTTTATTGTATCCTATGCAATATTATTGATCTCATTATGATTGGTTGAGTAACCTTATACATTTTTAAACTTCAGCTATGCTGTGCCACCGAATCAGATATATTAGATTTCAGGGTCGAAAAGCGATTACGGTTATCTACACTATTTTCTGATGTATCAAAAAATCCGGGGAATGCATTATGCTGGGCATCTAAATTTTGTTCCGCACCTAAATTAACATATGTCGGCTGTACCTCACTCACTAGATCCGTTGGATCGTGCAGATCACATACTTCAGTTATGGGAGGCCAGTTATCAAACGATTTGATATTATATTCCAATCGCATATATTTTCGCGTTGATGTGCTTACATTTTGTTCACGTCGTACTTGGAATCGCTTAAATACCAAATACTCGACCACAAAATTCTCGAGAAAGACATGAGTGATAAATGCTGCCGCTCCATAAAGGAGCATAATGTAACGAAATGACATATCAGGTGGAACAATAATTTGAAAAAAGTTGGCTATCCACTCACTTGGATAGACAACCAAATAAACAACAATGCAAGCGTTTAAAATCAGAGCCAAACAGAAGGGCCAGTTAGACCATATTGGTTTACGGTATGGGGCTCCTTTCGAAAATACATATGCAAGTATAATATACTGAAAACTGGATATAGCAAACATCGTGTAATTCTCATAACAACCTAAGTGGTCTTCTCCCTCTGGCCGAAAAGGTGTGTACCAAGACTGCTTGTGTAGTTGGAACCAGCCTGCAAAAAAAAAAAAAAAAAAAAAAAAAAAAAAAAAAAAAAAAAAAAAAAAAAAAAAACACAATAAGGATGATTTTGCAATTAATTTTGATTCAATTTTAACTTACTAGTGACCTGAAATGTAACCACTACGACTAGGTGAAGCAGAAGAGAGGTTAAAGGCGTTGGTGATATGAGTGAATTAAGTGGCACTTGTTTATTGAGTTGGCCATCATAGGCATCTGTTTTACCAAAGAAGAATGCAAATACCGATATTAAGCCAAGATCGATATAGAGATATTGTTTATCTGTTAAATTCGAATCGATCGAGTATAGTATCATTACAGATATAAACTGTACTAACGAATAGGCGGCCATATATTTGAATATACCAAATGAAGTAACCAAAGCGGCGCGGCCTTCCTTTATAACATTTGGTACGGCTGCAATCGTAGGGTTACGGGATGTGAATGGCGACGCAATTGATGATTCACTATCACTCAATGATATACCCGTGTGTGCTACCTTTAAAGCACCACAGTCGTTAGCCCCATCTCCGCACATCGCAACATAATAGTCCAAATTTTGAAGCTCCATCACTAGAGATTGCTTTTGTTCCGGTGACATACGCGCATAAATTGCTCCCCGAGTCAAGATGATTTCCATTTGCTGCGGAAATTGATTCTGTACAATTTGCCATGTCTTGCCATCCATGGCAAATATATATTGACGGCGCCAGTTAGCTTCATTACGTATGACAGCTTCTGCTCCATCATCGCCATCGATATCGTTATGCGTCCATGTATCTATAGTCTTTACGCTTGTCAAACTGTTGCTATTGGGTAGCACACTTGATGTACAACTTAGGCCTCCATTTACTAATGAATTGGTTGAATTTGATAGATGATCCATATTTAGTACGAATTCACCAGCAGAAAATGCTCTATTACCATTCAGTGCGGGTGAACACGCCTTACTACTCAAATCAAGAGTATACTGAAGCTCATATTGACAAACATGTTCTTCAGCATTCGATTTGTCAAAGGCTCTTGGTAAGGGCACGGCATGGACTGTGATAACTGCCTGCGTGTCGCTCACAATACCACAGTCCCGAGCGACACTCATTGCAGTTAATATATTATCACCTGTAACCATAATTGTGCGTATATTTGCCTGATTGAGTGAGTTTATAACTGTCGATGTATCGGGCTTAAGACGATTTTCAAGAATTACAAAGCCTAAAAATTCCAAACTGACCTCGACCTCCTCACGAGAAAGCCTCTGTATCTTTGTGTAATTCATCTTCGGGTTGAAGGTTTTATATGCCATGGCAATAACGCGGAAACCTTTCTTTGCAAAAATTGATAGTTGTTGAGTATAGTCGTTCGGTATACTCTGTGGCAGACACAATTGTTGCAGCATTTCAGGAGAACCCTTGCAGTATACATTGAATCCTTGAGCGCTGAGACAACGCGTTATTACTGACATACGCTGTAGAGTGGATGTAAATGGGAACTGTCTTACAATTCCATGATCAAAATTTTTCTCAGTTTTAAATAATCCAATGTTGGCCAATAGATCATCTACTGAATCCTGTCGCAATACGGATGATCCTGTTGACATTCCCTCTTTTCGGGATAACTTTGTTTCGTCTCGAGTGGGCTGCCGCAAAATTGTTGGATAGATCAGTCCATACTTCTCGTTTTCAGGTATATTATTTGAATCTTCAAGTACCCAACCGGTCGACTCAAACATCTTAAGATCCAAGGGATCACCCATCATTGTACCATTCATAAACGTAATTGAATGGCACGTGACCATCCCAAACAGAAAATGATCGTATGGTAATCGCATAACATCTTTAAGGGGTATTTGAAACTGATTTGTCGACGATTTTGGTACAACGCCCCACATATCCAAACCATCCTCTGTCAAAGTTCCAGTCTGCACAACAAAACATAATTTTAAAAAAAGTATAATTTTTAACAGTATTTGCGCCAAACCTTGTCAAAGCAACAGCAATCAATACTGCCTGCCACGTTGATGGATCGCGGAGATATACAAAATATGTTATTAGCTTTTAGGCGTTTTTGAGCATAAAACCGGCCAACGGACATAGCCGCCGGTAATGCTGGCGGTACCACAATTGTAATAAGGTCCAACGATTCGACCACAATCTTAACCGTGTCTGTACCACGCAATATCTTTGAAGAACAATTATATATAAAAGTTGGTAAAAGATAAAACGAAATAAATAATTTACCTTTGTGACAAGAGTATATATAAAACCAATGCAGGCAATTAACGCTAAAAACTGAATAAATTTGTACGAATCCTGTTCAAACTTATAGTCCACTGGTGGTGGATAGAGTATAGAGCGTATCAATCCTCCTTTTGCCGTTATGTTTCCTGTATTTATAATAAAAGCTAGCACCTTTTTAGACCCAATATATCGAGTTTGTATAACTTTAGTGCCACAAAACAGAGTGTGACGTGCATGTTCTTTTTTATCAAATATAACATCTCGCTTCATCGGAAGTGGTGTTTTAGTAACTGGTACACTCTCTCCAGTTAGCATTGATTCGTCTAGGATACAGTTGCCGGATAATAACACTGCGTCACAGTGCATTGTGCAACCGGCTGATGGTATTTCAATAATATCACCAGGCACTAGCATTTTCGTATCCACTTCTATCGATTCTCCTTTCGCGTTGACCATCCATGCATTTCCCGTATTCAGAACTGTTTGTTGCAAATCATCTTGATTCTAGAATTATATTTTACAGTTGGTAAAGCGATCATTAAAATGCTGTATTTATACAAATTTTGATATTACCTTCTTTGTTTGTAGAATAGACATTGATATGCCAAATATAGACATTAATAAGATTACGCAGGCATAGTAGTAATAGTCATATGTAAACCAAAGGATAACCGAAAATATTTGAAACACATAAAAAGGATTGAGAACTTCTAAAAATAGTAAAGTCTTCACATCTTTCAGGGGCACTGTTATTTCATTTTCACCAAATACAATACGGCGTGCGAGCTGCTCTTGCGTAGTTAAGCCACGTTGCTGATGGTAATAGGAGCAGGGCACATTTACGTCCAATCCGTTGATCTTTTGAAAGTTGTTGACGCTGCTTTCCCACACATAAACAAGTTGCTTGCATCGGAATGTTTTTAAGGATCGGCAACCTAGAAAACAAATTAAATACACACTAGTTGGTAGCATCGTTTTCTTAAGAACTAGTAAGTACCGACTTGATAATGTAATGGAATGTATTTTCTTTTTATAGTTACGAAGTACTACTACCAACTACAACAGACGACATCTCTCGAACCCCCAAAAAGGCATATACTTTGTAAATCGTATGCCCAAGTACTTAACAAATACACACATATACATTTATGCAATTTTAGTTTTCTTTTATTTCATGTACCTTTAAAATGCGCTGAAGATATGTGAACTGGTAGTTGAAGTTTCTTTTCATCAACTTCCTCTCCCATTTTCTGGAGCAGTTTTCTGCAATTGCAAAAAAAAAAAAAATAATAATAAAAAATTAATTGCAAAGCAAGAGGAATAATTAAAGTAAATAACTACTTGAGCTGTTGTATATCCAATGTGCAGACATGTTTAACATGATACACCTTGTGATTTCCTTGATAGTCCTCTTCGATAAGTACTTGTTGTGCCTCCTCCAACGGACACGGCTGGCATGTGGCTAGCAAATACCAATGACGCCACCAATGCAATACCAGCCGTAGTATTCCACCAGTTAGGATGATGCATATCCAGCATAAAAATGTGCGGATATGCGAGCGTCGATATCCACTGACTTTCATTTCATCTGGCTGATCGCGGTTTAAGATGGCATTGCATGATTTCGGATCTGAAAAATTAAGTTTTGGAATATGCATCAATATCTTTAAATCTATCTATCTACCTTTAAACCTAATTATATACACATACGTATTTTTGTTATTCATCAGACCTTTTTAACATAATTTTTTTTTACTAACATACCTCGCAAAGTATTGCAGCTCATCATCAGTTTAGCCTAAATTGACAGCTTGTAATCAGGGTATGTCTGCAAAGTGGCATAACATGTAATGAAGTCTCACGATCCAGATGATATATTATTAAAGATAATGTAAATTCTTGCTACTTGATCAGTTTATCCATACTCACTCCCTCTCACACACAAGACTAATTTTTCTGTAATTATTGGATGCCGAGGAAAATAGAATACACGATTATACCCAACAAGGTTGCAAAATTACGAGCCCCTAATACACTTCCACGATGATAAAAAAAAACAATTGATAAGAACTGACGTGCATTTGTTTCACTTAACATAATATATGTACGTGTAAAAGTAAATACATAGAGTAACTATATATATATATATATATATATATATAAAGAACCTAGCTGAATGTAAACTCCAGTTAAGGTTTTTAAAAAATTATATATAGTCACAAATCACTTATTCATTATTTCATTGCTGACACACAAATACACACATTGTTGGTTAATTAATACAATCGTTAGTAAATACATACATACATATTTATCGATAAAAGTTTAATACTATACAAAAGAACTTCAGAGTACAAAGACTGGTTCATTGTTTCAAATGTTCATTGTGAGCAAACATGCAAAAGCATGAATCGATAAAAGTTAAAAATTAAATTCGAACTACTAAAATGAACACTAGTTCATATATGTATTTATATTTATTATTTATAAGGTATTTTTTATATTCATTCACGAAAGTGAATTAGTATATTGCTTTTGTCCGTCTTTTCCATATGACACCTTTTTTAGGCGCTATTAAAGCTAGAGAAATGGGGAACGCATATTCGTGTATATCTCCGATTTTGTGTTTTCCCGATCCGCCCACTAGGGGCGTGGCAAATCGGAAAATGCATTTTTCGACATGCCAGAAATCATATTAGTTGAAGAGCTAGAAAGCTGAAATCTGGAATGTAAATCCGCGTCGACCACCTAAAATCACGTGCTATGATGGCATATATGTATATGTATCTACGCCCATTGGAAAATATAGTGATTTTTCAAATTCTGCTATATTTTGGACACTATTGACGCAAGAGACCTCAAATTTTGTATATATGTATACTCAGGCTGACCATCCAAGACCAAAGAGCTTCGACGGATATGTATGTATGTCCGCTCACAGGGGGCGTGGAAAAACACAAAAGTTTATAGCTCCTAAAGTATGTATAATAGCTAAAAGCTTCAAATTTTTATCAAATTTTTTTGAGCCAATTTTGCAATTAGGGTACCATAAGCCCGTTCTAAGACCTCAGAGCTTAACTTCGCCCAGTAGAGCTTAACTTCGAAACCAAATTGCTGATGAGATGTGAATGAGTATTTCACAGTCGGTAACGTCCGACTGCAATGTTTTTGCTTTAAATAGGATTACCCTTATATCATACTTTCACCAACACCTATGTAGTTAGAACGTTGCAGTTGGGCGTTACCGACAGTTAGTTTTTCTCAATTTTCCACGCCCCTAATAGGCGTAGACACTTCATTTTTGGTCAGCTGATAAAACAAGCGGAATTAACGGTAACATAGCAGCAAAATTTGTATGCTTACGCTAAATATTGATTCGGACATCAATATGCGCCTAGAAGATTCATAACGCTATTATTAATCGAAACTGAATCTTAACTAATTAGTAATTACGTTACAGCAAATAAACTGAATCGCACACACCGAAGAACAGCGATAACGCACTAATAACGACTACGTCCCAGAAATCTGAAGGCACTGATTCGACAGTGAAAGCCCTAAGCAAGGAAAGTATAATTGAAACGGTGATGTGTGAGCAAGTAGAGAAGGCAATCTTATTTTTATTCAGTTAACAAAATTACCTAAAACTATTTAATTATAATAATTAAATTTATGGAATTATCTGGGGAAGAATCTCAAAAGTACAAATACAAAGAGCCATTTAAATTCGTCACAGGTCTCCATATAAAAATCCTATCCAGCACTATTCGGATGTTATGGTATGTAAGATAACCTAATCTAATTGATTTTGCTATCCAAGAAAATGCTGAAAACATATTTATGGAGAACGGGCTTGAAATGACCTGATTTCACTCGAAAAGTAGTTATGCCAGTACAAAAAAAGTTTCAGAGATAGATAAGGAAAAGGTATCCAACATTATATATGTGATCAAATAGTTGCTTTTCTGTGGTCATTTTAGTTTATATGCATACTGTACCCCCTAAATTTGTATACACTATGGCTTTGTGAAAGGTATGTAAGAAGCAGAAGGAATCATCGCAGACCACATAAAGTATATATGTATATTCTTGATCAGGGCGACGAGTTAAATCGATGTAGCCTAGTCCGATCTCAAAAGATATATGAGCTAGAGAGCCGAACTTTTACATGCATACTCGTGTATACCGTACGACAAATTACGACAAATTATTTAACAAGTAAATTCTCATCATGTTGCCTACACTGCAGCTCAGCCCAAGCGCAATCCCTGCTCACTGCTTAGTTAGCAAAGCATGAATGCATGTAAATGTATGTGAGTATAAATTAATTGCAGAATGATTAGAATATCAGCTTCGAGCGCTTAGGGTATCTCCTACTCGAGCAGTCTCGACTAGAGCCTTCTTACCTGTTAAAGCTAGAACGCTGAAATTTTGCACATGAGCTAATGCTACGATACTATAAAGATTGATGAAAAACTATATGTCTCCACCTACTAGGGGCGTGAAAAATTGGACCTGAAGATATAATGTCTACCGACGTTAGAGACCTGAAATTTGGTATATATACTCCGGTAGACCACACAAGATGAAAAAACTATGGCGGATATATTTCCGTCGAGTACATCGAATTATTTTTCATATCACAAATTAGCCCAATAAGTAAGTATACGATTTCGTCTATACTTTTTCTTGCTCCGTCCAAACACACTGACGGATTGGCATATCTGGATGAACTCATCTCGTTTTCCAAAACCAATATTCCCAGATTATCCATTTTCAATGATCTAATGGTATACATATATTAGAGATATTATTGATGCTTACAATGGGGAATTCAGATACTTCGAAGTGGTAGGTGGCTCTACACGAAATATGTGTTGTTTTTTTTTGCACTCTGAACCCATTCCCAATAGGAAATCAGGGTATAATGGCTTTGTTAAAAGTATGTAATAAAGATATAAAAAATGACTATATCGACTCAGCTACTATAATCGCTCTGCGATGCTTCTTTCTGCCTGTTACATATGTACATTTTCTCAAAATCATTATACCATGATTTCCCATTTTCCATGGGTTCAGGGTATAATTATGCTAACATATAATAAATATGTTTACCTACCCTTCATTAACAACTGGGAGTTCTGTAGCTGAAAATCTTCATCGGGATCGAAATTGGGACTCAACCTATCATTCGGCTGCTTAGCAATTGAATTTGTTTCCTTAGCCATTGGGATTGATTTTACAGGTGTATTAAGGCTGTTTTTATTATTGTTGTTGGTAATTTTAGTTGGCTTGGCGTAGGTCCGATTTGTATCAATATTGATTCGCGTGGGGGCCAGGAATGAGTCCTCGACGTCCAGTTGCTGTACGGGTGAATGCCACCAATTAAGTTTCAACAGATTATTCTTGGTAGCAATACACGGCAAGTGCAGCAACTTCTCTCGCTCTGCTTGCTCAACGTTGCTTTCCGATAACGGCTGCAGTAACAAAAGCTCGGGGGGTACAACTTCTGCAATAGGGCATCCGCCATTTTCACTTTGGTTGGCAGACATTGTTGTTGGTGAGACCAATTTATATTAAAATAAATTATTAACGCTTTTTTGATTGCTTAATTCTCACTTTTTTAATTTGCTTTATTATATATATGATATATATATATGATACCTAACGCAAAAGTCGAGCAGGTCTGTCAACTGCACAGCTCTTGTGCGTGCCGCCTTAGCAAAAAATGTGATCGAGCAACATTTTTAAAGAATGGTTTAATCGGGCGTCTTTGCATATTTATATGATATGGCATGATTTAAGTGAAAACGATTCCAAAAGCAAATCGTTTTTAGACGTTTTCTCTTACGTAGGCGCAACGTACGAAATCCGTACGGGCAATTGGCAGGCCAGTTCCCATTTACAAATAATTTGCATTGATCACATGGCCAAGAAATTAGTTTTAATCATCCAAAGTTTGCGCTGGCATTGACCAGTAGCAGATGCCACGCTGCGGCCAGTGTTTTTTGATGTTGTCCTCCGCTGCCTACACTCTTCTCAAAATAGAATTGTTTTACGTAATCCTTTTGAAGTAAGGAAAAATCAATCAGAACATCAGTCAATACGAATATTGTCACATATCTTCTTTGATTAGCGCAGCTTCCGTCGCCGACAGCACCCTCTGGCTGTTTGCGCAACCTTCTCTTAAATGGCCCGATGTGCTGCTGCTTCTCGGTTGCACTTTGAACTGAATGCATTACGTTTCGACTAGAAGGCAATACAACACAATGAATTGCCAAAGGTTTAAATATGTTATGTATCAATACCAAGTCCGCCGTGTCTCAATTTTACAATTTTTACATTTGTGCGCATCAAATACATACACTTGGAATATTTGATAAAATCTATGGAGTATATTTTGAATTTTTCTCTTTAAATTTCACAAATATGTAACACTCACTGAATTGTCTTTGTATTTATCGCTGAAAAGTTAAAATTCGATTGATAATTCCATCATATTTAAGAACTTTTCATAACTTTGCATAATAAGAACTTTTCAGGGCATATGTATGTAATTTCACCTAATATGGCTCTAACGACCACGTTGATGATCATTATTTGTATGTTAAAAGATCGGTGTATTGTATTGTTGTTGTGTTATTAGAAAAAAATTCTTTACGCTCATTGCTTGATGAGTAATAATGAATAACATATTCATCGCGATAGTGCAGTCCAACCACATGTGATTTTTCATACACTTTACACCGTAGATAATCTGAAATAAAAAAAGTTGGTTAAGATACATTTAATATAAACAGAAAAATAGAAATGTTAGCTCTCGAATGTTGATTCGATTAGCCTTTCTGATGCGCCAAATACTATTTCCGAATAATCGATATGCATTATGTATGAATGTGGGTATCTAAATACTACCGATTTGCAGCTTTGGTGCTGTGAGTACTTGAACATATGAATTTAATTTAAACAGCTATGTATGTACATACATATTTACATATGTAGATACAATGTGGGCACTGCGGATCATGAAATACTTCTAAGTGACATAACTAAAATTTGCATACGATTTCATGTTGATATGCGGTGTCAAACAAAACATATACATATGTATGTAGCTACTATAAAAGCTTAAAACAAACCGTTAAATTTATATGTATAAGTCCTTTGAGCATGTGCTTCGTCTGTCCCATAATACTTTCATACTTCTTATTTAGGTTTTAAAAAACTTAACTTACACTTCCACGCGTTTTTTTTCGGCTGTAACTTGCAAGCAAAGTTTGTGCATGTGTGTATAAGCACATCTGTATTTAGAGTAGCTAAATACGTGTCCGATAATTTACTGTGCCGTGCTATCGAGTTTTCTTCGAAAATATACCAAATATATTTTGGTATCAGTATTTTATCATAGGCATACATTAATATTTTTATTAAATATCGTATATTTCAAATATAAATGTAAATTTATCAAATTTAACGATTTTATGTGTTCATAATTGATAAGAATTAGTTAAGTTTAAGCAAATATACTATACATTTATACACCCTAAGCACATTATAAATGGGAAATCAGGTTTTGTGAAAAGTATGTAACAGGTAGAAGGAAAAATCGCAGTCCCCATAAAGTATATATATTCTTGATCACGGCGACGAGCTGAGTCGATATAGCCCTGCCAGTCTGTCCGTCCGTCAGGCCCTCCGTCCGCTCGTCCGTATGAGTGCGTCGATCTCAGAAATTATAAGAGCTAGAGAGCTGAAATTTGGCATGCATACTCGAGTGTACCATACAACCACTAACCCCAGAGCACATAGACTGGTACGTAGTGTAAAGCGTTTTGCTTTTAAATTATAGATTCGGGCTACAAAAAGCCGAGATGGTCAACTATTGAACAAAAGTTGCCTCTATGCTCAACGTTTCCTTTGCTCTCTCTCGGTGCTCTCAGGTCTCTCAAGTATGTTTATGTATGTTTGCCTGTGCACATGTATATCTTGTGTATATGATGTTTTAATGTATATTGTGCTTTAATTTACGCACATTACTAACCCATTTTGACTTGCATACTGCGTTTTCTTCACGCTGCGGAATTTCTGCATCAAAATATTTGAAAAGTAAGAAAACTCTAGTCGAGACTGCTCGTTATGAGATACCCTGAACCCTCCAATCTGATATTCTACTCACTCTGCACTTCTTTTAGGCACACATAC